ATAAGTAGTATATGATTGACCAGACACAATTTCCCTTGAAGCACACGACCGATTTCGCGGTTCTTGCTGCTTGTTAGGCATGTGTATCCGATAATCTTTTGTCAGTTCATTTACATATTTGTACCCAGGAAGTGTATTTTCGTCACAATAACCTTTTTTGCGACACCGGGTGATTTTTGGATAGATAGCCCTTTTATCATCAGTCTATTGAAGAATCAATGCTATAATTCGATGTTTTGTAAGTTGGTTAGGTGGTTTTAACTACTAGGTATATATATATATATATATGACGGATCGAAAATAATAAAATTTTGTTTCACTCCTTTATTTATTGCATGATAATTGCACGGTTCATTTTAAAGTTTCAAAGAATACTCCCTTCTAGTGATTGGAAAACTATATCTAAGCGAACAGTTAAAGATTGTTAGGAGAGATGATAAAGTAAACTCATTGAACTTTGGGGGGATTAACATCCAACTTTCGAGCTATCTGGATAACAAACTATCGTTTAGCCACCGCCACTTGTGCTTCAAAGAGACTTCTTAAATTCGGTTTACACAGAACCCTCCAATTGTCCCCCTTTATTTATGTATCGACTGAAACATCTTCCTTCGCTACCCGTCAAGACAACAACTAGCGTTTTACTCCTATCTCTTTCATTCTGGGCTGTTGTGGATTAGAGTAATCTGGTTAAAGTGACTATCTCTAGTGTACTATTTCTCATCTGTGGATATATGAACATTTGTCTATTGCATAAATCCGATGAAATAGTGAATTCGCAAGTGTTGCTGTTGCACACGAAATGTTAGGAGTACAGATTAATCGATCGGATCTAATAAGTAACCTCAGCTCCTCAGTTTCAGAGATCAAACCCTTTTCGTTCCTCCGTTCCCGTTCGTTTAGTTTGCCTCAGAAACGGCTCACTGTTCTGGAAATTCAGCTCCCCGACAAGATCTTTACTCGAACAAATGGCCATTTGCCGAAGATCACAGACATTGACGAGGCTCCTGTTCTACCAGTTAAACCCGCTCCATCAAACGTAGTTCAACCAGCCTCTGTTGGTCGATCAACACGGGCAACGGAGGATAAGCGATCAGTTCCCGAGCATTATAAAGGTCAGTCCAAGGTTTGTAATGTTTTTGGCTAGCTCGTTTCTGAACTCGACAAACTCTAATTTGTTCATCTCACAGGAGTGAGTATCTGATGCCATGAATTGAAGTCTCTAATGATAGGATTGTGGTCAGTTCAGATGGCTTATTTTATCATATTCTACCTATTCGCCTTCACGAGGGCAGTAGAAGCTAATAACGACGTCGCTTCAATTCGTTCAGAACTGTCCTGAAACTTTTGAAGCGAAGTCTAACACTAATAAACAGGGGTTAATTTTTAATCAACTTTAGTGAATGATGGGGTCGATGGTCGTTCAGTTTACAGAGATGTGTATTTCTCCATCGGTTATTATTCTGTTTCAACCGAATGAGCGAACTGGCTCTTTTGCGTGGCCACTCCTT